CAATGGGTTCTTGTGAAGATTAAACAATATCATGTGGACAGAATTATTTTGGATATTGTGGAGTTCTCTACAAGATCATTTATTACAATTGTGTTAATCCTATTAGAAGCAGGTGTGGCTAAGGCTTGACAGAGTGGACTGCACATGTTCCTACCTGCAACATTCTCACCCAACCATGTGTGACAAGTCTGTTCCTCTTGCCCTTTTTTGCCCTGACATGCTGATTTGATAGCAGATATGGAGTATCAGTCTTATCAAGTTATCATATTAGGTTTTGTAATGCTACCAAAGGGACTCCAAGTCAGGATAGGTCCAAACCTAGGGTTCCAGAGGATTTATATTATTACTTTGACTCCAAAGGTGGTTTGCTGTACCCTTCAAGAACCAGTGGTAAGAAAGTTGGACTCAAAAGCAAGCAAGATTTCTGCCTGAACATGTTGCCTGGTTAGAGTGAGGGAGAGAAAACTTCGCCCTTTTGGCATCTGAGCATGGAACCCTGACAGAAGGGGGCGGGGGGCATGTGGAGACCCGTGCTTTGTTCTTAGACTCAATTAGAGTCAGTCAACCGGGTTCATTGACAGAAATGAATTGTAGCATCTGTTGGGGGCAGAGAGAATATTAAAATGAAGCTAATTTCAATTTCTCAGTTTCTTGTCACCAGGGATGGGTAAACCAGTAGTGCTGTATGTTTTCAGAAAGTCTTGACTTATTTTTTCAAGTATTTTGGCTAAATTTTACATGTGTTTTGCCAGCTTCCTTTCCTTAATTATTAGTATTAAACCCGTGCATATGAATTTAAATGGGAATTCAATAGCCATTTTTATTGTATTGCACTTATTTCATCCTTTGAGAAACTCCTCTGTTGAGTAAGGACTGTTATATCTTGTAAGGATTCTTTGATGAGAGTTTATAAAAATTTTTCTTCATAAGATGTCACACCAATTCCTCTCCTTCTCTTCCCATGAGAAAAATTGGATCTGGGACTGATTAGGATGGGATCCCAATTCCAGATCCGGCTCAAGGAAGGATTTGAAAAATACAAAGTGAGTTCTCACTGTCTTAATTGCAGTTGCCTTTGAGGCAGTCACTCTGACAAACCCCCCAAATGGATTTTTGAGTACATGCACTTTTAGAAACATTATTCTCCATCTCCAGGTCTTGCATGCAGTTGCCAGAACCATGGAAAAACAATTTCTGAAACTCATCATTTTTTCCCCCAAGTACATCACACAGCTTGACTATGGGCAGTGGGAGATGAGAAGAGAAATGGTAATTTCCAAATAATACTTACTTTCTCATTGCCCAGCAGCCCATCTGTGTCTCTCTTAGACTTTGTACAGTACTAACAAAACCAGCAGTATTGATGTCAAAGAAATGGCATATTTTGTTAATGATAAAATAAAGGTGTGCGTTGTAATGGTCACAAGGTGCTGTTCTATTTGTAATAGTTTGGAGTGGGACCTGGAATTACTAATGTTAGTAATGTTAGAACTGGGGGGCAACCCCTTCTGGTCCCCTCCCACTATAGGAGATTTTCTGTCCGCTCAATAAATTCTCCTTCCTAAAAACAAAACAAAAAAAAAAAAAGAAAGAAAGAGAATCGGGGTAGGAGGGGAAAGAGGTTTACTGATTGTCCCACCAAACTTTCTTGTTACCAAAGGGTCTGAAATAATGGGTGGAACAAATATAAGCCTGGACACATGTTAGGTATATAATAAATGCTTCTGAATTAATTAATCTTAAAAATTAAGCTCTTAAGCTGGGCTCGGTGGCTCAGCCTGTAATTCCAGTGCTTTGGGAGACTGAGGTGAGTGGATTGCCTGAGCCCGCGGGTTAGAGATTCGCCTGGGCAACTTGGCGAGACCTCATCTCTACAATAAATCAAAAATTAGCCAGGTGTGGTGGTACACGCCTGTAGTTCCAGCTACTTGAAAGGCTGAGGTGGAAGGATCACCGGAGCCCAGCAGGTTGAGGCTGCGGTGGCCGGGAGCGGCCACTGCACTCCAGTCTGGGTGACAGAGTGAGACTTCAACTCAAAAAAAAAAAAAAAAGAAAAGAAAATTAAGCTCTTTTATGCCTAAAGAATTATAAGTATTAAATAGAATTGGGTATTCAGAAAAATAGCACAGTTGTTTTTCTTAGGTTTTTCTCTCCTGCCTTTTGTTCATAGAATAGATCTGTGTCTTCTTGACTTGAGAATGACTTTGTACTCCATTGTCAGTTAATAAAATGTTAAACAGTGGATACTGTACTTTAATGAGCATTAGATTAGAGGGTGAGGAAAGGATTAAAAAGTATTAGATAGTTGGTCATAATTTATAAAGTTGTTTTCCTTTAGAAGGTGTACTGCACTGCCCATCAAAACTGGGCTGGATAAAAAAATGTGGTACATATACACAATGGAATAGTATGCAGTCATAAAGAAGGACAAATATATGGACTTCGCAACAACTTGGATGGATTTAGAGTCTATAATACTCAGTGATTTATCAAAGAAACCAATAACAGAGTACCATATGTACTCACTGAATTAAAGGCACCCACTACAAATCTCATCTCCAAACAAAGACCCCCCCCCAAAAAAAACATAACTGCACATTGAATAGAGTGTCTAGGGGAGAATTCTGGAATTCAGTAAAGAAGTGATGGACACCCTCTGAGGCACAAAGTCATCTGGCAAGGACCAGCTCAGAGTCAAGAGGAACTCCCCACTGCAGAAAAAAGGTCAGTGAGAGACTCACAGCAGTACACATCTCCACCAGAGACACCTGCAATCCTGGCCACAGAAGAGTCCTTCAGCCCTGTTAAGTCCTGTGCAAAGTAGAGGGAGCTTCCTGGAGTTCGCACGACTTATATTATTCCTGTGAAAGAATTCATGCTGGGTCTCCCCCAGCCGTCAGGACCCAAGCTGCTACAGCAGGTAGGCACTTTGAGAACAGAGTCATCGTCTAAGGGCAGCCTGCTCCAGGGCCCTATAGCCTCTACATCTCTCTGAGACCCCACTGGCATCCCATCACATCGACCAAGAGGTCAGCAACATTGTGACAACAGTTGAACCACGTGCGAAGTCATGGCCCTGACATCCAACCATACACAGCACCCTATACTTGGGGCGCAGGTAGTCCAGCACAAAGGAGAAGCTGCCCCAGGACAAAGGGAAACAAAGCATGTGCTCTCCAGAGACTGAGAGCTGCTCAACTGGGGACTACTGCCATTGTTGGCTTCTCGACTCCCTCCAAGAATGGAAAGAGCCATGTGCCTGAGGATGACCTATCTGGACCATCGCCACTGCTAGTGACCTTGTGCTCTCCATTTACAGAGCCACATGCCCATGTTTGACTCCCAGTGGCCTGAAGACTGGACTGCATGGGACCCACCACTGATGGTAGTGTACCCGCTTCAGCAACAGAGCTGTTGCACACCCAGACTTGTCTCCCTGGGGCCCAAGGATCAGCCAGACTGACATTCTTATCCCCAGCAGAGCTGTGTCACAGCCTCTGCAAACAACTGCAGCTTAGGTCATTGAAGCACTTACTAATACCACTATGTTGATTACAGCCAAAGAAATCAAACAGAAACTACACTACTGTGTACAGCCACATCCAAAGCCAAGGCACCCTACATAGTTGAATATAGGACACATCTACAAAACAAAATCTTTCCCTACAAAATCTACTCCATAAAATTGGAAGAAACAACTGTCCCACCAGATGAGCAAATATCAGTGAATGTATAAAAGAAATACAAAAAAGCAAGAAAACGTGACACCTTCAAAGAAACACAATAATACTTCAGTAACTAATACCAAAGAAAGAGAAATCTGTGAAAAGCCTGAAAAGAATAGTAAAATAATGAACTTAAGAAAACTCAGTGAGATACAAGAGAACACAGATAGATAATTCAATGAAACTAGAAAAATAAGTCATAATCTGAATGAGAAATTCAACAAAAAGATAAATACCATAAAAAAGAACCAACAAAAATATTGTAACTGAAGAATTCAATGAATGATATGAAAAATACAGTTAAGAGTTTCAACAGTAGACTAGATTAAGCAGAAGAATTTCTGAACTTGAAAACAGGTCTTTTGAAATAAGCCATTCAGACAAAAACATTTTTTAAAAAAGAAAAACAAACAAACAAAAAAACCAAGAAAGCCTACAGGACATATCGGACACCATTTTTGCATTATGAGAATTCCAGAAGGAGGAGAGATGAGAAAAGGCACAGAAAACCTATTAAATGAAATAATAGCTAAAGATATCCCAAGTTTTGGGAAAGATATAGATATCTATATTGATATAGGAAGCTCAAACACTCCTAAGTAGATGTAAACCAAAAATGTTCTAAGATGTGTTACAGTCTAGTCTCAAAAGTTAAAAATAGAGAACATTTTAAAATTAGCAAGACAAAAGCATCAAGTCAAATATAAGGGAATACTCAGAGACCTTACAGTCCAGGAGAGAATGGGATAATATATTCAAAGTGTTGGGGGAAGAAACAGTCAACCAATCGTACTATACCCAGCAAAGGTATTCTTCAGAAATAAAGGAGAAATAAAGTTTTCCCCAGACAAGTAAAAACTGAGGGAATTCATCACCACTACATCGACCTTTTAAGAAACACTTAAGGCAGTCCTACATTTGAAAGAATGATAGCTGCCATAATGAAAACGTTGCAAAAGTATAAAACTTGCTGGTGGATCAGATACAGAAATGAGAACAAGAAAGAAACAAAAAGTTATTACTACAGAAAACCACCAAACCACAAAGGTAAACACTAAAAAGAAAGAAATGAACAAAGGATACCAAACAACCAGAAAACCATTAGCAAAGCTACTCCAGTTTGTTTTGGTTTCCACTACTTATTAATAACAACTTAACACATTAATAACAACTTTGAATGTTAACCACTTAAATTTTCCAATTTAAAGGTATAGACTGGTCAAATGAATGAAAAACCCAAACCCAACAATATGCTACCTATAAAAAACTCATTTCGGAGCCTTTGGAGAGATTGAAAACATTGAACCTCCCATGGATACAAAAACAAATGAAAGAAGAAGATTTTGTTTTATCACATACACAGATGAAGAGCCGGTTAAAAAATTGTTAAAGAGCAGATACCATCAAATTGGCTCTGGGAAGTGTGAGATCAAAGTCGCGCAACCCAAAGAGGTCTGCAGGCAGCAGAAGAAAGGCGGGAGAGGCGCTGCCACCGGTGGCCGAGGCGGGGCAAGGGGGTGTGGTCGAGGTCAGGGCCAAGACCGGAACCAAGGATTTAATAACTATTGTGATCCAGGATATGGAAATCACAATAGTGCCTATGGTGGTGATCAAAACTATAGTGGCTATGGCGGATATGATTATACTGGGTATAACTATGGGCACTATGGATATGGACAGGGATATGCAGACTACAGTGACCAACAGAGCCCTTACGGCAAGGCATCTCGAGGGGGTGGCAATCACCAAAGCAGTTACCAGCCATACTAAAGGAGGACCTTGGAGGAAGCAGGAGGAGATGTTTTAAAAGTAATCCATCTTGCAGGACGACATTGAAGATTGGTCTTCTGTTGATCTGAGATGATTATTTTGTAAAAGACTTTCTAGTGCACAAGACACAGCTGTGTCCAGCTGTATATAGCTGCCAACCAGTTTTCTTTGTTTCTACTTTGTCCTTTGCTATCTGTGTTACAACTCAGTGTGGATTTGTGTTTATACACATTTTTATTTGTATCATTCCATGTTAAACCTCAAATAAATGCTTCCTTATGTGATTGTTAAAAAAAAAAAACTCATTTCACTTGTAAAGCTACAAAAAGACCGAAAGTGAAGAAATGAAAATGGTATTCCATGGACATGGAAACCAAAACAAACTGGAGTGGCTATACTTATATAAAATAAAATAGACTTTAAGTAAAACAAACAAAAAGAGGCAAAGGAGTTACATAATGATAATGAGATAAATTCCATAAGAGTATAGAACAATTGTAAATATAGATGTACCTCACATGGAAGCACCCAGATATATAAAGCAAATATTATTAAAGCTAAAGGGAAAGACAGACCTTAAAACAGGATTAGTTGGGGACGTCAACATTCTATTCACAGCATTAGATAGATCATCTACATAGAAAATAAACAAAGAAACATTGAACTTTAACTGCACTGTACACCAAATGATTCTAACAGACATTTACAGACCATTCTACCTAACAGCTACAGAATACACGTTCTTCTCATTAGGACATAAAATATTCTCCAGCATAGACCATACTTAGGCCACAAAACAAGTCTCAACAAATTAAAAAAAATAAAAATAGTATCAAGTATTTCTTTCCAAAGAGAGGAACTTATGAAACTGTGCAGATACTTGGAAATTAAACAACATGCTCCTGAATGACCAATGGGTTAATGAAGAAATTAAGAAGAAAATTAAAAAAAAATTAAAACAAATGAAAATAAAACAGAAACACAAATATACAGCCAATCAAGAATAGGACACTGCGAAAGCATTATGAAGTGGAAAGTTTATAACAACAAATGCCTACATAAAGAAGAAGAAATGTTGGAAATAAGCAACCTAATGATTTACCTCAAGGAGCTAGAAAAGTAAGTACATATCAAATCCAAAATTAGTAGATGACTGGAAATAATAAAGATCAGAGCAGAAGCAAATAAAATTAAAAAATAACACAAAAGATTCACGAAATGAGAAGTTGATTTTTCAAAATGATAAACACAAATGACAAACCTTTAGGTACACTAACTAAAAAAAGGAGAGAAGACCCAAATAAGTAAAATCAGAAACAAAAAAAGGAGATATTACAACTGATACCATAGAAATGCAAATAATCTTGGAAACTACTATAACTAACTATGCATCAACAAATTGGAAAACCTAGAGGAAATGCATAAGTTCCTGGACACACACAAACTACCAATAGATGAAATAAAAAATCTACACAGGCTAAAAATGAGTAACAAGATTGAATTAGTAATACAAATTCTCCCAGCAAAGGAAAGCCCAGAAATAATTGGCTCCCCTGATAAATTCTACCCAATTTATAGAGAACTAACACCAATTCTCTTCAAACTACTCCAAAAAATTGAAGAGAAGAGAATTTTTCTTAACTCATTCTGTGCGATCAGGATTACTCTGACACCAAAACCAGACATGGATACAATGAAAAAATATTCATCAGGTCAGTATCACTGATGAACATAGATGCAAAAATCCTTCACAAGATACCAACAAACTTAGCCAGGCTCGGTGGCTCAGCCTGTAATCCTGCGCCTTTGGGAGGCTGAGGTGAGGGGATTGCCTGAGCCTGC